TATATGTGTGTAGACATATGGATGACTAGCTAAACTATATATTACTTATCTCTATTCTGAAAATCTTGCAGGATGAAGATGAAGACTCACAACAGAGAGGTGGAGTTGTACTCTTTGACAAAATGTCTCATCCTGCTGCTGAACGTTTGGATTTAGCTCTATCTGTCCTTTTTTTATATATCAAAGACATCTGCTTTCTTAGCGGTAAGTGTTTTTGTCTGCTTTGTAGATTAAATGTAAACATCTGAATTTGCGCCTTTTTACTCATAACAGTTACCTGCATTAAGTTAAACTGTATTTCCAATTTTGCCACCAAACTGGGACAACACCTATTTTATATTTGTTACATGTTACATAACTCAGACACACAAGTCAGTCAAACAGGACAGAAGAAACACAAAGAGGAAAAAACATCCAGTGAAAAAGAACAGGAAGAGAAACTCAGTGTCCAGACAACCAGACAGGAGACATGGTGACCCAGGGAAAAAAGAGAAAGCCCAGAAAGAAGAGTGCCAGTGAGGGAGCAGCCAATCCCCCCTCAAGCTGTAGACCCTTGTGAGGCCATATTGTATTACTAAGAAAGGGCATAATCATGCCAATAAAACCATGTTCGATTGAACTTTTCTTCGCAATTGTACAAAGAGGCAGTGAGGTTCTCCATACGTTCTATCTCCGCAATCTTAGAGTACCACAATGTCAAAGTTGGAGCAGCAGACTGCTTCCGGAGGGCCGGAATGCACAACTTAGCCGCATTAAGCAAGTGAATCAAAAGTGATTTCTTATATCGCTACCTAGATAGACCGGAGACATGTAGGGGACAGGCAGCCAGGTTGTCTCAAACATCTGCTCCTGTAAACTGCTTGATAAGATTCCCCACCTCCATCCATAAGTGACTAATCTAACAGGACCAGAAGACATGCACCAGATCACCCACACCTTCCACACATCTCAAGAAACTCCTGGAGGACTGAGGAAACATTTTATGCAAAACTGTGTGCACTCTGTACCAACGGGAGAGACGTTTATAGTTATTGTCCTGCATTCTGCTGGAGATGCATAGTTACATAGTATGTGAGGTTGAAAAAGACACAGGTCCATCAAGTTCAACCTTTGTGTGTGAGTGGTGCATGTGTATGTGTGTGTATATGAGGGCTAGTAGTTAAGAGTACCTGTACTCCTGTATATTACGGTCTCTTAGAACAATATTTAATTGAATTTTGTAATGATTCAATGTTCTCTGCTGATACCACTGCTTGTGGCAGAGAGTTCCAAAATGTAACTGTTCTAACTGAAAAGAAGCCCCTACGCCCTTTGTGATTAAAACTTTTCTCCACCAATTATAGTTGGTGGCCTCTAGTCTTTTAAAAAAAGTTTATTGCTGATGTTACCAGCACCACTAAACATTTTGTACATCAGAATCATGTTCTCAATCTCCTCACCTAATAGCGTAAACAAGTTTATATTTTGCAACCTTGTCTCATAGCTTTGATCCTCCACCCCCTTAATTCGCTTAGTTGCTCTTCTCTGGACTCTCTCCAGCTCCAGGACATCTTTTCTGTGGACTGGTGACCAAAACTGGACCGCATACTCAAGATTAGGCTGAACCAGTGATCTATAAAGTGGCAAAATTATCGCTTTGTCTCTACAGTACATTCCATTTTTAATACAAGACAGTACTCTGCTAGCTTTGTTTTCTGCAGCAGCCTGTCATTGGATGCTGTTAATCAATCTGTGGTCAACTATGACCCTCAAATCTTTTTCCATTTCTGACTCTCCTAGTGGAATACCCATTAATTTATATTCCTCTTGCCTGTTTTTTTTTTTAATTTTATTTTAAATATGTTTTATTAAGTTTTTGTTGTACAAAGTAAGAAAACAGTTCACAATTCAATGTTGTACAGAATGAAATTCAAGTAGTCAAACTGGTAACAGAAACATTCAGGAAATAACCAGAGAGATTAAAATCACAATAACAGTATACAGATAGGGAAAGTCTGTACAGGTCCTGTGTCTTGTGCGCATTGAGAAGTGTAGCCAATCTACAATAGAATTCCACATAAACGACTGTGAAAATAGAGGTCACATATCTTTCAGGTATGTAAGCCAGCTTGTTTTTGAGTCCCATAGTGACCCTAGGCATTACAATTGCAGGGGGACCTGTGATAAAGAGATACAGAGATACAGAGATACAGATACAGAGACCAAAGAAAATAGGACAGGAAAGTGTTAGAGAAATTGGGATTGGAGTACGAAGGGCCCGGGGGTGGAAGGTACTTGAGCTGAGGTGAGTCGTGGCAGAAAATGGGAGCCGTTCCGACGCATCAGAGCTTATGCTCAAGCAGTAGATTCAGTGTTTCAATTTAGCAAAGTCATCAGTACTAGTAAAGTAGGACCAGCAGGCCCACATTGTTCTGAAGCTGTTTAGCCTTCCGGCCTTTAGAGGAATAAGAAATGAGATTCAACAGACATGAAGATATCGACATGTTTACTGAAAAGGAGATGCAGGGGCTTCCGACCGCGGAGCCCACCTTCAACTCTTGCCACCATGTAGGCTACCAGAGGCCAGAAGAGAGAGGAAAATAGTTCTGTGTGAAACAGGTTATGGCAAGGGCCCCACAGACCCGCCATCATAGATGGAATCCCCGTGTTCCAATGTTAGGGAATAATAAACACATGAGAAACATAACATTCTTTAAATGCAGTGCAAAAAAGGGGGGTATGAACCATCAGTCTCAGTAATGTCGCCCCTCAAATCCCTATCTCCCATCAAGGCAGGCAGCACTACCCACAATTGCCAACACTCACAGAGTCAGGGAGCATCAAATAAGGCTCCAGGGCCCTGCCAGCCCCGATAGGGGAAGGGGAGGGAAGCCACGTAGACGACGTATAATTTGTGAAGGGAACAGATGTTCGCGTGAGGGGAACAAATCACATGCAATAAAACATTATACTAGAAATATACTATTGCTAGTGTGTGCTGCTGTGGATCTGAGGTCAGCGGAGTCGAGGACTCCATTCCTGGGGATGGAAAGTTCCATCTTGAGGGGCAATACGGGCAGTGGATCTCTCAGGGTTCACTGGCGGTGACCTTCTCCCTCACTGGAATCACCGAGGCAAGCAGGGGATCCATCCATGGGCGTCAAGGGCTACTGTTTCTTGCGGCGCTGGGGGTCCAGCCGGCCTGTCGCAGATGCTTGCCGGGCCAACATATCAGAGGAGTGCTTCATAGAGTCATGGTGACCGAGTGCTGTAGGAATAAACGGTCTCAGATCGTCGTACCAGTCCTGGATGGTGACCGATGGTAGGCCCAGTTGTGAGCAGAATGCATCCAAATCCTCTGGGGTGCGTAGGTGGGCCGTTTTGCCTTTGTGGGCAGCCAACATGCAAAATGGGAAACGCCATCTATAGACTATTCCGTGATGGCGGAGGCATTCCAGTAGTGGACGTAATGCCTTTCGTTGTTGTAGCGTGAGCAGTGAAAGGTCCTGGAATAGTTTCAACTCCATGCCTTCAAAGAACACAGTGCCCCTCTGTAGGATCTCTTCCTTCAGGGGGAAGCTCTGTAGACAGCAAACAACATCTCGTGGTGCATCTTCCATAGTATTTCGTGGTCTGAGCACCCGGTCGCCTCGCACAAACTCAATGGGAGAGTCCAATGAGCGTTCCAGGAGGACGTTAAAGATGCAAAGGAGAGCGGTGGAGATGGCATCCAGCATTACAATTTCTGGAAGACCCCGGACTCGGATATTGGACCTACGGCCTCGATTGTCAAGATCTGCGTGCTGCCGTCGCACTGGTTATGAGAGAGTGCAAGGCGGTGTCTTGTGATCGGAGTCTGCAAAGCCTTCTGTCTCTGTCGGCTACTGCATGTTCAACGGACCCCAGCCTGCGCCTATTTCCAGAATTTCTTTTCGTAGCTCAGTCACCGCAGAGTGCAGCGTGTCTTTGATGTCAGTGGCTATAGAGGTAAGATCAGTCCGGGTGGGGAGATGTTGAATGTAAGAGCGCATGGATCTGTCTTTATAGTCGGGGAGCGAGTCTGAAGTCTTGTGGGAGGGGCCATGTGGCGTGGTGTCCGGAAGATCTCCGGTATTTGTTTGATGGAGTCCCTTTTGAAGCAGGGGCTTTTGCCAGAGGGTATTGTGGACCACTCTTCCCCATGCTGCTGTTCGGAAGGCTGCAGAGGCTAATGTTGGGTGGAGGTGAGCAGGAGATCCTGAGTTAAGCGGCTATCTTGCGCGCCTCGGAAACCACGCCCTCCCACTTGCCAATTTTTAACCCCAAAATGCATTACTTTACATTTTTCAAAATCAAACCTCATCTGCCATGTAGTTGCCCACACCCCTAATTTATTCAGGTCCTCCTGTAATGTTATATTCTCTAAGCCCGTGTCTATTACCCTCCCAATTTTAGTATCATCTGCAAACACAGCAACATGGCTATAAACACCTTCCCCAATATCATTAATAAACAAGTTAAACAGTATTGGGCCTAGCACACAACACTGGGACACGCCACTCTCGACTTTAGACCAATCTGAAAAAGAGCCTCTCTGGACACGTTCCTGTAGCCAGTTCTCAATCCATGTACACACCATTTCATCTATACCCATAGATTTAAGCTTGCGTATTAAGCGTTTATGTGGTACTGTTTTAAATGCTTTTGCAAAATCCAGGTACACTACATCCACTGGTTTTCCTCTATTCAGATTTCTACTCACCTCTTCGTAGAATGTTAGTAGGTTGGTCTGACTACAACGGTCCTCCCTAAATCCATGCTGACTATCACTTATTGCTTTGTCACGAACAAAATCCACTAAATAGTCCTTTATCATTTCCTCAAACAGTTTGCATACTATTGATATTAGACTGACTGGTCTGTAGTTCCCAGGTTCGCCTCTTGAACCTTTTTTGAATATTGGTACTACCGTAGCCTTAGGTCAATCACTTTGTACTCTTCCAGTCATTAACGAGTCCTTGAAGATGAGCAATAACAGTCTTGCTATAGTCTGGCCGAGTTCTTTAAGTACCCTAGGGTGCAGGTTATCTGGTCCTAGCGATTTATTTGCATTACGTTTTTCCATTCTTTGTTGAAGCCCGGCTACTGTCAACCACTTTGGTCTCTTACGCCCACATTCTTATCTCCATTAAACCCATCTTTTTTTTTTCCGTGTATACTGAGGAGAAAAATGAATTTAATACCTC